ACTCACCAGCTGCTGAACCACCCGGCCAAGATCACTCCGCGCGGCCCACGTCTCTGTTCCAAAACAAGAAGCTTGTTTGACACACAAGGCATGGCATAGCTTCCTACATCCTCTTTGGCTTTCATTGACATGGCCTTGCCAGTTCCGGAAAAAAAAAAAGAGAAAAAAAAGAAGAAGAAATGCAGGCGAACATCGCCGCGAGCGACTTGGATCCTCCGCAGTCTTCAGGTCCACCACCGCGGGCGTGGCGTAGCCCATGCCCAGGATCTCAACTCCTCGGTGTGGCCCACGCGAGAGGTGGCCCACGCAAGAAGAAGCCGGAGGACTGTGTGGGGGTTGGTCTCCTAGTTGGATCTGGGGAAACCTCAAAAACAAAGGTTTGGCTGTTCCGTTGCTTCGCCTTTCAACCAACTCCAAAAAGTCGACCGAGCCTCAAGGCAACAAACCACATCCACGTGGCCATGGCCGAATTATGGTGTACTCCGTGCCGACATCCTTGCCAATACAGTAATTGATTGTTTAATGAATATCCTCACTTGGGTTCCCCTGCCAAATTGTCCATGTGGGGAGGACCTGTATATAGAACCCTATTCGCCCCTCACGAGATACCCCCCGACGACAAGAAATCAACCGCGCATTCTCGTCCTGGTTGCCTTCTCGGGGAGTCCTTGACCAAAGTCGTCCGGCGGCTCAAAACAAATTGGCACCGATGGCAAGCCCCCAGCTTCTGGGAATAACATCGGCGATTCGCTCCTTTCGCAGTTCGAGCGCCCAACTTATCAGGTAACCCCTGCTTGGTGGATTGGATTGGTTTGGGAGGTGAACCCCTGGCTCTTTTAGAGGGTAAATGGGAAACCAGCCCTAACCAAACCACCAATCCAAAACACCAGCTAGAGGGAAGCTGAACTTAGTGGGTCTTTGCAGCTCTCACAAGGACTATGACATGAAAAGAGGCGCGCAAGAAACCCTCATGAGAAAAACTTGGAGACGGAAACCAAATCCCATCCACCCACCAACCGACTTAAACCAACCAAGCCCAACCCAACCCACCAAACCTCTCCCACCCAAACCTCTCCCACCCAAACCTCTCCCACCCAAACCTCTCCCACCCAAACCTCTCCCACCCAAACCTCTCCCACCCAAACCTCTCCCACCCAAACCTCTCCCACCCAAACCTCTCCCACCCAAACCTCTCCCATCCCAACCTCTCCCACCCAAACCTCTCCCACCCAAACCTCTCCCACCCAAACCTCTCCCACCCAAACCTCTCCCACCCAAACCTCTCCCACCCAAACCTCTCCCACCCAAACCTCTCCCACCCAAACCTCTCCCACCCAAACCTCTCCCACCCAAACCTCTCCCACCCAAACCTCTCCCACCACCCAAACCTCCACCGAGTCTCCTTCCAGGCGTTCGCCCTGGGTGCCATGTTTCAAGAGCCACAGCAGCAGCGCCGCCACCGCGCCTCCCAGGGAGTGCCCCGTGAGGATCACCCGGTACCCCGCCTGACGCGCGGAGCTGAGACACGGCGGCTGAGACGCGGCGGCTGAGACGGGCTTGGACGTGGCCAGCCGAACGATTGTCTTTCTTTGATTGTTTTGGCTCTTGTTGTTGTCGTTGTTGTTTTCTTGTTTCGTTGTTGTTGTTTTCTTTTGGTGGGGGGGGAGAAGAGGAGAGGCGTGTCCGGCGATGGTTGAGAGAGGTTTGGTTGGTTTAAGTTGGTTGGTTGGGTTTGGTTTGGTTTAAGAAAAGAATGCTACGCTTTGAGCAAGGCCCAGGATCCGAGGAACATCCTCCCCAACCCTACTCGCCCGAAAACCAGCGGGTGTTTTTTTTGACCTCCCGGGAGGGACCCCCCCCGTTTTGGGTGCTATGTGGACCTTGGGGGGGCACCAACCAGCCTTGGATACTAGAGTTCCTTACAGGTACTAACTCAGACCTCCAGCGGCCATCGGAAAAAAAAGGAAAAAAAAGAGGAAAAACATGCTCCAAAGCGGTTCGGAACCCTCCCCCCTCACCTCACCCCCCCAAAAAAAACGCTCAAAGCCCACCACAGGACCACAGGTCTGAGAAGCCATGGTATGAAAACGTTTAAGTGTCCGATACTCAAATGCCCAGTGGATGTCCATGATGGGAAAAGGGGCATCCGTTTTTGGTCGGTTGATTTTAAAGGAAAACCCTTCAACCAAAAAAGCTGGCAAAAGGGGTCGCCACTGGGCAACTGAAGGCCCAAACAGAACAAGGGCCACTGGATCCTGTCGGATGCTACATGATTGTCCTGTGGCTTGTATTCGAACCCCTTTTACCGAGCCTGACACCCCCGGCCATTTTGATTCAAACGGGTTGACAGGGGGTAACTTGGGGTTACCCGGGTGTTTTCTTGTTTGTTTGTTGTTTTATTCTGGGGGGGGACCAACCACTTGCTGAGACTCAGCAAGTGGGTAGTTCCCTTGAACATGGGGCTGTCTTTCTTTGGGGACACGCGCACAATGGCTGGTTGGTTTCCTCTTGATTTCCGTTCAAACCAACCAAAAAGGGTCTCAAAAAAGACACGCCGCCCCCGAAATAACCCACACACATCAAAAATCACGCAACAGCATGCATACAGAATTGCCCATCCCCAAGCAGACCAGCATACCCGGCACTACCAGCATCATCTGCAATCTGCAAAAGGCGCTCACGGCTCGAAAGCTGCAGCATCACAAATCCACTAAAATCAAACAACATCGAAACTAGTTTCAGTCAAGCGTGTGTGTGTGTGTGTGTGCGAGCAAAAAAGCAAACAAACTCGAACTGTGCTTCCATTGCTTTCGCTTGTTTTCCCTTGCGCTGGTTTGCTTTGCTTTGCATACCACCCTATTCATAAACAGAAGGGGTGCTCACAAACATATGTCGGTTTTTTCTTCACAACCCTTCTATCACAAAAACACATCCCCACCAACACACCTTCACTCGGACTCTTCATAAACCGGGTCATAGTCAACCCGGTCGTAAAATGGTCTCGTTGGGTTGTCCCTTACTAACCTTCATTTACCCGAATCGGTTTTGATTGCGGCGCAGCTGAGGTTGGTTCATCTGGGGTCCACATTCGCCTCCCAAAACGGGGGGTTCCCCAAAGCGGGTCGCCCCGGCGGCCGTCGGCTTCTCGGCGTCGCTTTCGCCTGGCCCAGCGCCCGCAGCGTGGGGCGCAGCTCCGTCTCCAGCGCCTGCGCCGCCTGCAGCGCGCCTGCGAAGCTTCGATTCGAAGCTCCAGCCAGGGATCCGGATGCATGACAACACCTGAACATTGCAACTTGTAAATGGTGGGTTTCCTTGATTTTGCTGGCAGCCAGGTTTCAAATGGGCAAAATGATGCAACATGTATCTTTTGAGGAGCCCTTTGAAACGATGGTTGAAACCGAAACAGGTATTTACAGAAGAATTGCACCACTTTGAAACCATGCAAAAACAAGTGTTTGTTGGTATTTTAAAAGGGGAATCGGAATTTCAGGGTGGTGCAGGATTGCGTCCATCCACAGTAGGACTCCACAAAAGACCCTGGTTCATACTACTTCCCACGACCCCCCCTTGAGACCATGAAATGCAACCGCGGAGTACAGGGAGAACGTGGCATTTTTCTGCCCGAATTGTGTTTCTTGTTAGCAATTCATGGCTGATGTATTGACTCAAGAATGACGTGCCTGCGCTGCCTTTGGAGAGGGATCATGTCGCTCGCCATGGACAAAAAACCGTGAGTATAGTGCTCACTGCACATTTTTCCCTGCACGCTCATAGCGTCCTGGGCGCCTCTTGGAAAAAATCGGAAGGCGCTGCGAGTGCCCAACCGTCAAGCTCGCTTGGCTTCCTTTGGTGCTGGCTGGCTTCCTTTGGCTCTCCTGTAGAGGGGTTTGTTTTTTTGCGGAACACGTGACACAGATCCATGGCCCGCCATCTTAAGAGAACACCAGGGGCTGAACATATGAGCCTTGATTTTGGAATTGGCGGATATCATTTTCATGTGGGCGTGAAAATCAGTAGGACCCGGATTGGTGGACTTCATCTAGCCGAAAATGCGTGTCCTTCTGAGGTGGTTCCCAGTTCCGACTCTTAAAAGTCGTATGCGAGTTTGCATCGGCCAAGCGCTTCCAAGTCTCCGCCTCCATGAGTCAACCGATTTGGACGGTACCACTACCCCTCAATTGTGATCCTGGGTCCTTGATTCAAAAATGGCGCACTGGTAGACTGGAGTGAAAGCAAAACCAGGGCGATCCATATATGTCAATATATGGTCAACCAAACAAGCGCAAAAGAACGCCCGTGACTATCGTACTCCACTTGACAGTGTTTGCATGGTTGCAACCTGTTTTCGCCTTTGTGGTTTTGTTCCGCGTTTTCGTCATGCGCGAAGAGCCCCAAAGAGCCACACTTTGCTGCTACCCTCTTTCCGATGGAAGCTGACTCTGTCAGGTGCTTGGACGACTCCTCTTCTTCGGCCCCGAATGTTCACTTCCGTGTTTCTTTGGGGAAACATGGCAAAACACCAACAGGGGAAACGGGCATGGGAACAAACTATCCAAAGACTCGTGAGATTGACCTGCAATGCCGCAGCCAGGCTTGGCAACCCCACAGAACCCAAATTTAGACCTTCCCACCCCACCGCCCCCCCAACGTGCAGCAGCCTTCAGCAAGAATTTGGACCATCCCCCCAAACCCTCCTCACCCGCCCTAACCCCCCCCCCCAAAACCCCAATACCCGCCCCTGGATTTGGTCCAACCGCGCGCCTTGGTGTGCCAGAAGGCTGGGCGCGGCGTCGTCCCCATAGCCCACCCCCAGCGCATCGAAGTCGGTGAAGAGATCTCCACCCCGAGACCTCCGCATCCAGATCTCAAGCCGGCCGCAAGCAGAAGCAGGGGCGTGGGTTCAGGTGGATCTGTGCGTTTTTTTTTCAGGGTTCCCCTATTTTGGGCGCTTTTAAAGGGAGAAGGTTCATGTAGATCTATGCTGTACGATGTTAGAGGATTTGAGGGTTCCCCTACTCTGGGCCCTTAAGGGAAAGGCCAAAGGGGAAACCGGGCCACTTTGAGAGTTTGGAAAAACAAACCCATGTGCCACGTGTAGAAATGTTTTGGGACTCACAGAAAAAAGTCAAACACCCAGCAGTTGGATTTATAAGAGACAAACCCGGCCGAACCCCGGCCGAATGAAGCTCCAGACTCAAAGTTGCGAAGGTTCCAAGACATGGGACATCTTGGGTCGAAAGCACACCTGCTTGGAACTTGGCTGCTCAAAATTAAACGATCGGAGAGCAAACCCCAGGTTTTGGTACCCATGTTTCCACTCAGGGCAACCCATTTTGGAATTCCGGTTTTTTGAGCCACAGCCATTTGGTTGGGCCCCCGGACTAAGTCCCTCCTGAAAGAGCAGACCCGAAATCTTACCAGTGGCATGTGGGTCTGCCTCAAGCATGCGGCAGTTTGCCGGTGCAGGCAAACGGACAAACAATGTCGTAACCATTGAGACAAACCCAAGCAATATCGACCCCGGATTGAAAGAAGATAAAAAAAAAAGGGGCAACTTCGCCAATAGTGACATGGTTCCTCGAAATGGTGTCCAATGAACCTAGAAAATCCGCAAACGAAGCTTCAAGGGATGGATTGCAACGAGTCATTCCCCAACCAGCAAGCTAGAAAGAGAGTCCAGCATTTTGGGCGTTTCTCAGGGGGTCCCCCCCCCACCTTCGTTGGAGACTCGGTCGCCCTTCCCGGGGGCCCCGGGGCCCCGGAGCTCCGGGGGCCCGGCTGCTCCACATCTGTGCCCCGGATGGAGAGCGCCGCGGTGCGGTGCGCGTGGCTGAGAAACCTCAGGCCCCACACCGAAGTCGCCTTTCGAAAGGCGAAGTCGTGCCCCTTGACCAGGTGCCCTTGATTGTACAGGGATCCGGATGCATGACAACACCTGAACATTGCAACTTGTAAATGGTGGTGTCCTTTCATTTTTGTGGAGAAAGCCATGTTTCAAATTGGCAAAATGTGTCTTTTAAGGAGCCCTTGATTGTAGTGGTTTGATTATGTGTCCATTCTTTTCAACCACGGTTTCCTCACGTTTCTTGTGGGTCTTTAGAAAGAAGGATCCCTTGAAAGAATGGAGAGGCTACCCCTAGATTGATGTCTACTCCAGAATGCAATGCCTGTAAATAGGTAAGTATTGAAAGGGTATACATATGCCCATGTCTAAACATAAACACAACAAACAAATGAAACAACTCATATGCTAGTGGTACATCCAGCACTTCCCGCGTGGCAAGAAGCCCTGAGCTTCCAACCCACAAAAAACGAACGACCGTCCCTTGCAAACGAACATCCACCAAACCCTCCCAACCCGCCCCCCCTCACCCCCTTTTTTCCGCCCCCCTCCGCTCGCTCGCCCCAAATCCAGCAACCCCCTCCGACCAAACCCCCCACCCCCCACCCTCCCCCCACCCCCCCACCCTCCCCCCCGACCAAAACCACCGAGGCGCAGGGCCCAGGCGGGGCGGTGCTTCCAGCTCTCCAGTCGCTCGGCCACCAGGCGCCACTGCTGCTGCAGCGCGAAGCGCTGCACCTCTCGCGCCGGCAGCTGGGCGTGGCCCCACCGCCCACCGCCCAGCGCCCACATCGAAATCGAAATCAAATCGACATCCACGGCGCTCGCTCCGTCGTTCTTTGCTTTGTGTTTTTCTCGTGCTTTTTTTTGGCTCTTTTCCTCTCTTTTTTTCCAGGGGCGCGGTTGTTTTGGACTCGTCGTCTGCGCCGGTTTTTTCTCCTCTCCCGGCGCAGGCGGTCGTTTTGGACTCGTCTTTTGAAAAGGGCGCCCAACTCTGCCTATTTTAGGAGGCAAAAAGGGGAGAAGAAAAAACACTTTTTTGGGTGAAGTGTTGAAGGGAAGCCAAAAGGAAAATGGAAATCCAGTTTGGGGAGACCCTTGGACATGATTTTGGGGGGTTGCGTCCACCAGCCACTTTGATTTTGAGGGGCTTTGTGACTATGCGTGACCAAATCCCTCGAAACTCCTAAAGGGCGGGTTTGGTACCAGAAATCAAGTTTTTTGAGTGCCCTGTTCATCTAAAAAGCGCAAATGATAGACAAAGTTGAACAGTTGTACTCGCTTGCCCCAAACCAGGACATCAAAGGCAGACAATTTGGAAGCTTGATGAGTAGGAACTGGCAAAAAGGCTGATGTTTTCCCCTGCGCAAAAACCTGCTTCTGAGAGATTCGCCTGTAACCCAGCCTGAATCATCTTTATACTTGCCAACGTCTACTCAGAATTGCACCATACTTTCATCCTGGAGTATATGGGTGTGTCTCAATTAAACCATCCAAAAGGGAGGGGGTTCCCCATGAGACATCCCCGTATATCCACCTGAAAAGGTTCATGGATCAGCGCACAAACTGCTATCACCAACCGAGTAGTGGACTCCACCCATGGGTGAGCTCCTGGAAAACCGCTGGGTGAGTTCATTCTTCGTCTTATTCGTACAGAAAAATGATGGACTGGAACTCTTCCCTTTCCATTTCATGAATTTGCGAAAAATCGATTGGCACGCCCAGTACTTTGAACACACGTCCCCCCTAAGTCCGGCTCTTGGATATTGGCTGGCCCCGACCTTTGCAATAGTCCAATACAGACAGGGGAATGTAGCCAGATCCCTCGCTTTGTCAAAATGGGGTCCACATCTCTTCACCTTGCACATGACCCTCAAAGTCGAACAAACAAAAGAAACTGCGGATTCGAAAGCTCCTAAAACGGGTCAACTGCAGGAGGGCAAACCTGCGGACAAAAAGGGGTCCCGAGGTCTGTCGACCAAGGCTTTGGTACATCCCTCGCGCGCCAAACCCCAGTGCCGCGACCCGAACGCTGGACAAAGCACAAGCCCACCCAAAATAACATGGGAATTTACAGGGTGGGATCCACCGCTAGCTGCTAGCTGAAAGGGAAAACGAGAGATCGCGCAAAGGGCAAAAAGCTTACAAGGATAGCTAACCTTTAGTAACTACACAGATATGTTTGATAGGTATGCCCAGCTTTCTATAAATCGGACTCACGGCCAAGTCTGGCAACTGAAGATAACTGAAGTCTCCAAACGCCCGGAACAACCACCGTCGACACCCCCCCCACTCGCCTCGAAGGCCGTGTCCTGGTAGGGCGCAAAGGTGCCTACGCCCGGCTCGAGACGCTTCCCGGAGATCTGAGATCGAGTTGGTTCGGTTCGGAGGTCTGGCTTAGGGCGGGAAAACTTAAATGGTTTAAGTTACTAAATTATTCACATGCTGGACAAACCCTAGCCCCACTTACCCATAAGGCTGAGGATAGTTCAAACCAAACCCCACCAAACCACCGAAGGGAAACCTGATTGCATGCTTCTGCCTGCGAAAGGGTGAATTCCGTCCGAGCAATTCTTCATGAATCAAGCTTGTATTCCTGGCAATGCAGGCGGATGTTTGCCCACAGGCCATTGAGCTCTGCTTTGTCCGGACCTTTGAAAGTTTAACTGTGGCTGTTTGGCCACGCAGGCGGCTGAAGCAATGTGGCACATGTTTGCTCAAGCTTATCCTTCGATTGCCTTCTCCCGTGTTTTTTTTTCATTGGGGGGGGGGGGTATCGTTGGGTGTGGGTTTGTTGGGGGAGTTTTTAGGGTGTTTGTTGGTGTCGATATTTTTGTTGTTTTTCTGTTTTTCTTTTTCTTTTTTGTAGGGGGGGGGGGGGGGGGCAGAAACTGCGGCCCGCCTAGGCGTTAGCAGTGGGCAAGAACAACAAGCGTCGAGGGCAATATAAATATGTGTATATATATATACATATAACCAGAGAGAAAACACCAGCAAACAAACACGCAAGCAAGCAAGCAAGCAAGCAAGCAAGCAAGCAAGCAAGCAAGCAAGCAAGCAAGCAAGCAAGCAAGCAAGCAAGCAAGCCAGCCAGCCAGCCAGCCAGCCAGCCAGCCAGCCAGCCAGCCAGCCAGCCAGCAAGCAAGCAAGCAAGCAAGCAAGCAAAGCAAGCAAAGCAAGCAAAGCAAGCAAGCCAGCCAGCCAGCCAGCCAGCAAGCAAGCAAAGCAAGCAAACAAGCAAGAAGGCAAGCAAGCAAAGCAAGCAAGCAAGCAAGCAAGCAAAGCAAGCAAGCAAGCAAGCAAGCAAGCCAGCCAGCCAGCCAGCCAGCCAGCAAGCAAGCAAGCAAGCAAGCCAGCCAGCCAGCCAGCCAGCCAGCCAGCAAGCAAGCAAGCAAGCAAGCAAAGCAAGCAAACAAGCAAGCAAGCAAGCAAAGCAAGCAAGCAAGCAAGCAAAGCAAGCAAGCAAGCAAGCAAGCCAGCCAGCCAGCCAGCCAGCCAGCCAGCCAGCAAGCAAGCAAGCAAGCAAGCAAGCAAGCAAGCAAGCCAGCCAGCCAGCCAGCCAGCCAGCAAGCAAGCAAGCAAGCAAGCCAGCCAGCCAGCCAGCCAGCAAGCAAGCAAAGCAAGCAAACAAGCAAGCAAAGCAAAGCAAGCGAACAAACATGAACAAACCAAAACCTGCGATCCCCGAGTTGTAGCGTCATGAGGTCGTGGACATGCTACCGGCAACTCCTCCGAGCTCGTCCCCTGCCTAGCAGCGCCATACCCAGCAGCGCCTTCCGGCGAAATGGGTTGCAGTTCCCAGCAACTCCTACCCTGAACCTGTCAGGGGGTGGGTCAACATCCAAATCGTACCCCCAACATCCCAATCCAACCACTAAAATTGACTAAAATGGGTGGTTCGCCTGAGTTCCCCATCATGGTACCATTTTGACCCAGGGAACTTGCAGGAGTTGCCTCGCCTTCAACAAACCTCGGGCCATGCTAGACTTGCTAACTGGGTGAGACATGTTTGTTTGACCAAAATTGTGGTTGTCCTAGTGGTTTCCCTTTGAACCCGCCAAAAAACGGGCACCCCAAAAGACAAACACCCACATGTTGATTTGGTTCACAAACGGTGGTTTAACCCTCGGCATGGGCCCATTAAACTGGCAGCTCATGGTGAAGATGAAATCCGCGCGGCTTCCGCCTGCCGCTTGAGTACCTCCCGTTTCTGCGAGGCTCCACTAGTTCTTGTTGGACATCAAAGTTCACCAGCCACGCGTTTGTTCAGCCCAAAACCAACCCCCGCAAACACCAACCACCCCCAAACACCGAACCCACACCAAACCAACCAGATCCACGCCAGACCCCCCTTCTCTCTGCCAACCCTCCCCCCTCCCCCCAACTCGTCCCCCCACCTCCAGCAGCTTCGGCGGCGCCGGGCGCCCCAAGGCCCGGCAGAGCCGCGCGTTGCCCTCCGGCGCGTCCCGCAGCGCCTTCCGCTGCTCCGCGCTGAGGTACAGCAGCCCTGCCGCTTTCGCGCGAGGGAGGCGCGCGCTCGAGGCGCGCGCGCGCGCGGCTCGCGGGCGAGGAGCGGGCGAGGGGACGCTCGAGGAGCGGAGGCGAAGCGTGCGGCGGCCGGTTTTTGGCCGCTGCGGGCCTTGGAAGGGGGCGGGGGGCTTGGTTTAGCCTAAAGAAACCATCGGTTGATCAACGTCCCCCGTTGTTTGGTGCTTGGGAGCCGAATCGGTGGCTTGGTGCTTAGCGGTGGTAATTCCCAAACCACCAATCCAAACCACCAATTGCGGGTTACCTGAGTTGACGCTCTTAACCCAAGAAACCATCGGTTTGGGCAAAAAACAAAAACTCTTTTTGGGGGACCACCCTGTTGGGTTCCATCTTGAAATGGTCTACCCACCAAGTAAAAGACTTTAAAAAAAAAGGCACCAACCGCCCATTTGATGGTGAGGACTAGCCCTTCAACTTCATCTACCCAGGCTCTGATCTTGGCGCTTCTTGTTTCCAAGGCGGTCCCGTCTTTAGTTTCAGCAGGCCTGCCACATGGTGGGTCCACGTGTGAACCAGGAAGTTGCCAAGGTTTGAGGCTCCCAGTTACGGATACCTGCCCGTTTCTCAACATTGGAATCGGTATTCTTTGATGGCGACGGTGTTTGAAAGTGAAGGCCACCAATCATGTTTGAGGGGTGTTCCCAAGGAGTGAAATGCATCTGTATGTCAAAAGTCGGGATTTCGACCCCACAACGGCCACGATTTCCTGTTGGCTTCCCTTCAAAAATACCGAAAGGTCCACGTGCCCTTGGGAGAAACACTCACGAGGGCATTCCATTGGCCCCTCACATGTAGATGCAACTATTCCATCTACTTTGGCCCTGGTGTAAACTCAATTTGTCCACTGCAGATGGAGCCCAATCGCCCGTCAGCGATCGCATGGCAAAATGGGCTGCCCTACGGGGAAACCAAAGGAAACCGTTCACCAATTTTACTACCGCGGTGGTTGTCATCCTTTGAAGGCTCGGGGCAGCCTTGGAAAACAATGGGTTCCACTTTGGCACCCCGGTGCCCGGCGATTTTTGCGGAGACAAAAGCATCCAACATTGCATATCCCGTTTAAACCCTCAAATGACAAGGGGCGCTGGATTCGCCGTATCAAAGGTTGATGCTCATGACTCTCCCCACTTTGGAGTTTTGGAAAGCTTCTTTGGGGCTGTCTGAGGTAACCCAAGGTGAATGTGTCTCCTTCAGTCTACTGGACTCAGAAAACAACAAAAAGGAAGGGAACGGAAAGCAAGGGAAGGGAAGGCAAGGGAAGGGAAGGCAAGGGAGGGAAGATAAGAAGGCAAGAAAAGCAAGAAAGCAAGAACGCGAGAAAGCAAGAAAGTAAGAAACAAGCAAAGAAGAACGGAACACTGGCAGAAGAGGATGCGGCAACCCTGGTCCATTTGCGGGGCCAAGGCTCCAAAAATGTGAGCCCCTCTGTCGGTGTAGAAACGCTCTTTGAGGCGATCACCTTGATGTTCACCCAAAAACAGCGCGTAAACCTGGCAAACCGCCAGCCTCCAAGACATGGGAACGTATCGAAGCCAGTTGGAGCCCTCCAAATGGCAAAGGTATGATGTGTCCATCATAATGCGAAGAATTCGCCACCGAATTCTAAGGCAAAGATGTGTGCTTGCACCCGGCAAGCGGCACACCCTTTTGCATATGCCAATGTCGACCGCGGATGAATCAACGTGGTGGATTCATGGCTCACTTCCTGCGTGGATTGGCCCAAAAAGCCCCAAACTTGTTCGGTTGCAGCGAAAATGGGCCAAACCCGAAAAGTGTAAAGTCCGAAACGAGATAGTTTGTTGTTCAACTGTGGAGAAACCCCTCTAAAGCGGACTCCCGCCGATTTTTCATCAACTGGGTTCCCTCCAATGCTCATGCCCCTGGCCTACAAGAAGATCCTTCGGCGGGATGTCCTGCAGCGCGCTGCTGAAGCCCAGCAAAGTCCTGAGGGTCAAAGGTCGAAATCTCCATCCGCACTCAGAACCTCGGAGTAAAACAGCTTCCCCAGGTTGCAGAAAATGGTCAGAAACGCAGCCCCGTTCCCAGGTTCCACAAAATGGTCAGAAAGGCAGCCCTGCTCCCAGGTTCCACAAAATGGTCAGAAAGGCAGCCCCGTTCCCAGGTTCCACAAAATGGTCAGAAAGGAAGCCCCGTTCCCAGGTTCCACAAAATGGTCAGAAAGGCCGCCCCGTTCACAGGGTCCACAAGAGGCTAAGAAGGCCGCCCCGGTCACCTGTTTCTTCGCAATCCAACGAAAGAGCGGCGAAACAGGGCGTGGCCGCCGCGAGACGACGGCGCAGGGTCTCAGATTCCGAGCCTCACGCCTCACTCGTTCGGCTTTCCCCGGAAAAGACTCTGCTAGCTTGATGGACCTGCAGTGCTCAGGGATGCACAAAAGGAAAAACCGCTTGTAGCGCCGAGCAACCGGAGCCCAAGAGATTGCTTTGGTCAAAACACTTCAGCAAACACGCCGCTGCCATCCAACTTGTGCAAGCTCTTCATTCAAAAGAGCCCCAATTTGCCTCACTGACTCTGCCTGAGTTCCAAATCCCGCTTGTTTGAAACGGCACTGGATGCTTGGCGACACGTGGCTCGCTGCACAGAGTCTTTGTATTTGGCTCGGAGAAAAAAAGAAAGACAAAAAAAAGCGCAGCACAAAGGCTAGGTCCTCCAATAAAAAGAGGATAGAATAGGGGCACCAACTTGTTCGGTAGTCTATTTTATCAGCTGCCCAAAGACCCTGAGACTAAACAGTCATCACCTGTTGGGCATGACCCCTATTTTAGTAGGGGAACCCTCCCTCCCCCAAAAAAGAAACGGTAAAACTACTGGGGGACCTAGGGGCTCCCTGACCAACGGATCCCCAGCCGTTGCCTTGCCCAAGCCGCGACGAATTGCCACAAATCAAAAGGGGAGAATTGCCGGGCTTCCTCTGGCTGTGGTTGTCAAAACCGTTTTGGGATCCCATTTTGGTTGGTAGGTGAATTCACCACCCAGTTTAGTCGATTTTAAGGGGGATTGGGATGTTGACTGGGGGGGACGATTTGGATTTTGAGCAATGGCCATCTCGGTCAGGCTGGGTCATTTAGCATGCCTCTGGCCAACATGGAAAGCGACCAGTCCGCTGCATCGCCAAAGTGGTCCAAGCAGTGCACAACAAATATGAAGTTATTATCAGCACGTGTTTAAACGCATCGTTCGCGTGGACATCTGTTCAAGCTAGAGCTAGTGAACTTGTTCGAAATGAAGTGACGAGAATCATTGCTTAGAAAGCAAATGCCAGCGGATGCAAGTCCTCCCAAACGTGCTTGGAACAACGGGGAGCAAAACCAGCTATAAACTAACCATCCGTTGTGGTTCCTTTAAAGAGACCCCTGGGTTCATTCCCAAACCACGGAAGGGCCATTCCCTACTGGGCACCAAGAACGGGGCAACACCCCAGCCACTTTTTGGCAAGCGGCTTGATGCCCTGCATGATTTCTTCGCGCATCAGGATGCCCAGCAACCCATACTGGCCATAGTTCCACACCACATCCTAGGCGTCTCGGGCCGCTTTGGTCTTCGCGGGGAACCACAACTAGGTCCTCCAGTAGAGAGGTTAGAATAAGGGTACCCTGCTTTCTGTTGTCTAGGGGAACCCTCCCAAAAAGGGTAAAAGGGCACTACTGGGGGACCCAGACAAGGAGACCCCCATTTGACACAAACCCTCTGCATTTGCTCGCCAAACCTGCGGAGAGAGCAGCCCGTGACTGTGAGTGGAGGCAGGGAAGGAGCCAGAAACAGGCCCACACCAGACCGCGGAAAGGCTAGGATGGACGTGGCAACTTCTTCCCCTTGACCTTCTGGCAAAACAGCCTGGCTCTCCAAAGATACCAACGCATAGCTTTGGACCCTTGTGGTCAAAAAACACCAAGACCTGGCTCGTTTGGAGCTAGGTTGATGACGAGTTCATGCTTTGCTCCTGACACAACCTATGCAAGCACAATCATTCGCGCGTAAGCAACGCCATCTTCTCAGAATTGGGGCTGGGTCCTTTGCATCTGTTTCAACACCGAGCCCATGCCTTTCACCCATGGCAACCATCCACCCACCCCCATCCCACCCCCATCCCACCCCCACCAACCTAAAGAGTCAGCTTTCCCCTAATTCGTGGTTTGGATTCATGGTTGGAGGTTTGGCGTGGTTTCCCCGTACCCTCTACAAGAACCAGGGGTTGGTTTCCCCAAACCACCAATCCAGCCCCCATCTTGCTCCTTTGCTCATTGCCAAGTGGCAAAATGGCTCACCAATTCCTTGAGATCACCCACCCACCCACATCCCACCCATATCCCACCCACATCCCACCCACATCCCACCCGCAGCCCTCCCACCCACCCACATCCCACCCACCCACCCAACCCAAAACCCACCTCCGCCCCCTCCGCCAGTTCCAGGGCCCCAGGGCCCCCCGGCCACCGCGCGCACCCCCACGGACCAGGGCAGCGACACAAAGGGCGCCACGCGCTTGGCGCCCTCCACTGCGAAGCCCCCGGCCCTCAGCAGCTTGTCCTGCACCTCGGCCAAAACCGCCCCACCCCACCCCGCCAACCGCGCCGCCGAGCCGCCGAGCCGAGCGTCGAGCCGCCGAGCGTCGATCAAAACCCGCCAACGGCGAACAAAAGCCGTCCGGAGATCGAGAAACCCGCCCGGAGATCGATAAAAACCCGCCCGGAGGATCTCTGCGCCGGGCTTTTTTTCAGGGGGACCCCGGGCTTTTGAAAGGGGCTCGATGTGTTTGGAGCAGTTTGGGAAAAGGAAACAGTTCGGGGAACTGAGAAGCCGTGGGGTAAATCATCACTTTGGGGGGGTTGGACCATGTCGGTGGTAAAAATAAAAAACACATGCCTAGATAACCAAGTCCGCCGCATGGGCCGGGGGCAGGGGGGGGGGGAGATGGGATGGTGGACGCAAATCGGGTCTTCTGTTGGAGGTGTCGTCTTTTGTTCTTTTCTTTGTGTTTCGCCGGCTTTGGGGTGACCCAAATCGGCTCGATTTGGAGGTGCCTAGATGGCCAAGTTGCTGTTTTTTCAGTGACTGTTGCTGGTTATTGGGGTTAAGTGCATGGAAAAAAAAACAGCAACTGGCCATCCAGGTGTCCTTTTTTAGAGATGACTTCCAGCAAAGGACTGGTTTCAAGCTTGAGACGCTCCGAGATCCACAGGGGCTCGTTGAACGGTGGGTTTGGCTGGAAGGACATGGGTATGTGCTATGTGCGTGTGTGCGCACATCAAAGCTGAGGAGGTGGGGAACTGTTGGTTCTTCACCCGGTAAGCCGCGCCCTTTTTTAAGATAGTAGCGGGGACACCTGTTGGTTCCCCAAAAAGGGTACCAAAAGCCAAGAAAACGAGCCACACCCGCGCGATGGAGACCCAGGTCCTCCAGAAGAGAGGTTAGAATAAGGGCACCAACTTTTTGCTGTGGTCTATTTTACTAGGGGAACCCTCCCTTCCAACCAACCAAAGTGGTGAGAGGTCGGCCTAGCTGGGGACGCAAGAGGCCGCTTCCGACCTCCTTCGCGCCAACTTCGGCCCAAAGCGCCGTGTCCACGAAGTTGGCCTCGTAGAGGGGCACCGCTTCTGGGTCCGCCAAGAAGGCCCGGACGCGCAGGCAGTGCTCCGCATACCTCGCGCCGAAAAAAAGAACGACGGCGGAACAGAACCCAGGTGCAAATGGTGACCGGAAGTCAAAGTTGTGAGGGAAACACACCAAAAGGGATACGTATAGAGAGAGAAAGAGAGAGAGAGAGAGAGAGAGAGAGAGGATGCAATCTGGATGCGAAGGAAACGACTCGGAACGCGTTTCAGGCTCCACAAAGGATGTAGATGATGCCATCTGCTAAACTGGGTAAACATCATCGCGAACAAAGCTCGAGATTTGCTCTGATTGCATCAGAGCCTTGAAGAAAAGTACAAATGCCCGAACCGGAAAATCACATCTCTTCGCAATAGGCATTCAGGTGAATCAATCGAAGTGTTCTTCAAATGTAGCTTAGTACAGTGGATTGCCTACATCTTGCACAGGTCGGGATGCATGAAACCCAATAACTCCTGGGATAAACCACCGACCCACTGGTGCAAAGCGGATCTTGTCCTTCTTGAAGTCTGACCGCTGGACACAAGGCGGCATTTATTGCAGAGGGCTATGAGTTCAGGGCTCCGTTTTTTGACTACCCCAAAGTCGACTTAAACCCAGGGGTGGTTGATTTCCCCAAAAGGGAAACCCCTCGGTTGAAGTCTACCTTGGGGTAGTCAAAAAATGGAACCCTGTATGAGTTCACTAGCGGCACAAACAGATTAGCAACAAAAGTACTGTACATGCCCATGAATGATGCCAGGACGTTGGTCCATGGGCCATGGGAAGGCTAGCCTTTCTTCATCTAAATATGCATAAGTAGTTAGTGAACATAGAACATATGTTCACTTAATCACTGGTTTACTCGTTTGTTTATGTAGTGTTGTGTTTATTCCTTTCATTGGCTACTTCTGTGCATGCTGCATATCTATTTGTATTCACCTAATTTATTCATTTATTCATTTATTCATCCTATAGATACATACCGAATACCCGCATTCACAAAGTGTAACATACCTGGCCAACTAACTGCACACACACACACAGACACTCTACTCTCATATGACCCTACCACGTGGGCTCGTGTCGAGCTCGGTTTCCACACGGCTTCCGTCCGACCGAGGCTTCGCCGCCGTCGCGCGAGCGAGCGAGCGGCGCCTCGCGGCGGCCTCGTAGACCTTGGCGCAGGTCCCGCGGGCCTCGATGCGGCAGTTGGCCACCGGCAGGCAGTCCTTGCCTTGGAAGATTTTTTAAAGGGAGGGGCTGAATGGCATGGCCGGGCCCAGGTTTCGGCCTCCAGATGGCCATGTCTGTTCTTTGTTCTTTTCCAGAAAAGCATCTAAGCAAAATTGGACAGAATGATTCTTGAAAGGAAGAGATCTAGAGACAACAAAGAGGTCAATGCTTGTAAGACGTGGCTGGGACCCCTCGCTTTTGGCCAGTGTACTTCCGATCTGAAAGTAACTATAAGAGCCAGCAGGACTTGAACCTGCAACCTCC